TACTGGGGATCAAGCCACACCCCAGCATGTGCCCTGACCAGGAATCAACCGGGGACCTCTCAGTGCACAGGATGACACTCAAATGACTGAGTCACACCAGCCAGGGCTGCAATAAAGAAATTTTTTTTAAAAAAGTAAAGGCAAAATATAGAAGGCCTGATTGTTTCCATAGAAATCTACAAAACCTGATTAGAATTAATAAATGAACCAAGCAAGGTTGCAGGTTACAAGATTAACACACAAAAATCAATTGTATTTTTTTTTTTTGATTCCCTGAGACCCCGCCCCACCCTCAATTGTATTCTTATATACAAGCAGCAAACAACTGCATTGGCAGTAACACTAGTTACAAAAAGTTCCCGGACATCAGTTCAATGATAAACATTCGAAACCCCTGCCTCACTCTCTGCAGCATTCTACCCTTGGCATCGCTCAGGAATTAGGCCATCTAGTCCTCATAACAATTCTGTAAAGAAAATGAGGAAACTGAGACAAGGTAAATGACCTACCCAAGGCCGTGCCGCTGTGAGATGGGACAGGCTGGAGTACGAAAACAGGTTGTTAAAGGAAAAAACAACTCACCGATCACCAGCACTGCATGCAGCTAAGCCCGCTGGCAAGCGATGCCGTCTGTGCCGAGGTGGCAGAAACCAGGCTCCCCGCCCTGGCAACATGAAACCTGAAGATGGACTGCAGAGAAGGTGAACAGTGACAAAGCCAACCAGAAACCTGGCCGCCCACCTGGCCTAACTTGGAATACATTCCCTCTTCAGCCCTTCGATCTCTGTTTGGAAAACCCACTGAACCATACCTGCCAGGTGAACCATTCAGCTGTGTCTCACACTGTTACTTGGTCTTCATTTTCCTTTTAATGCTGTAACTGTGCAGTCCAATAAGCTACCCATTGGCCACATGTGGCTACTAAATTTAAATCAATTAAAAAACTTGAAAATGTAAAAACTCAAATGCAAGCCACATTCCAAGCACTCACGGCCACATGTGGCCAGTGGGCACCAAACTGGACAGCACAGATGGGAACGTGTCCGCCTCAACACGTTTACCTGGCCAGGTGAGCAGAGTACAAAAGATGAGACTGTGCGTACAAAAGCCCTGGTCCAAGTTGGATGAACTTTGATTCCAGGATGGGGCTTTAGAAAGACTCGAGAGCCCAGCCGGTGTGGCTCAGTGACTGTCGACCCATGACCATTCCTGGTCAGGGCACAGGCCCGGGTTGCAGGCTCAAGCCCAGTAAAGGGTGTGCAGGAGGTAGCTGATTTCCCCCCATCATTGATGTTTCTTTTTATCCCTCTCTCCCTCTCCCTGAAATGAATAAACCCAAAAACCATTTCTTTTTTTTTAAATAAAGACTGGAGAGTCACACGGCAAGGGCTACGCTTCAGATATAGCTACTTTGTTCCCTAAAGTGTGAAGTTCAGTTCTACTGGGCCATGGGAGTTATTATTGCCAGGAACCTCTGCCTGACCTTGTACGGAAACTTTTATATTTATTCCTTACAATAACTGTATGAGCGGGCAGTAGTGTACATGGGTGTCCTGCTGCTTTGAGGCCCTGCCCCTGGGCTCCCGATCTCTGGCAGAGACTGGAGGAGCAGGAGGCCAGGAGGGTGACTTCCCTGCCCCGCTCCATCCCTAGATGGCACCGCTGTCTTCTGTAACTGCCCCTCCCCTTGTGCCTTGGTGTCTAGGGGTGGAAGCCACTCCAATGTCACCCCTCCAGGTTAAAACACCACCTCTACGGTTTCCTCACTCTCCCTTCAGAAACCCTCCTTAAATTCTCCTATGTGGTGGGGCCATGATTCCTGACCCTGACATTTTTTATGCCAATTTTAGAGCAGGGGAGGCTGGGGCGAGGTGAAGCAGCTTGCCCAAGTCACAGTGTCCTCTGGCCTCCCAGCAGGAATCTTCCAAGTAAAGTGTGCACACACAACCACTTCCCAAAGTTAACTTCAAAGGGGCCAGCGTTCTGCTTCTTAACGTTGGCTGTGTTCTCTTTGCTTAAACAGATCTGTGACCAAACTTGCATTTAGAAGAATCGCATTCTGCCTCCCCTACCTCCTTTCCGCGGGGTCCTCGCCTTCACAAAACAAAGGCACCCTCTGGGACGCCCGTCCTCGCCTGCCGACCGACCGGCGAGCACAGAGCGGACCTAGTAAACTCGCCTCCCTGCAAACGGCAGCCGTGTGAGCGAGTTCACTGGAAAACCACCCAGCGGTCGAGGGCTGCACTGGCAGTAACACTTCAATGAAAAGTTCATAAAAACCGGTGTGTGCTAGCGCTGTCCTGTGCCACTAACAGTTATAAAGAAGCATCCGGAAGACAATGTTTAGTATTTGGTCCGTGCGTCAAAGGGAGTATCTGAGCTCCTCAAACTGGGTGCATGAACGCGGGTCCGGGAGGAGCTGGGGGCGGTTCGCAGGGCCCCGCGGAAGGCGCACTGCCGGGCTCCCGGGCCGGCTTCCCAGGTGCCCGCGCTCACGCCCGCGGCGACTGTCCGCTACACACAGGACGGGGGCGGAGGGTCGCCTGGTCGGCGCCGCTGTCCCCGCTTACGGCCTCCTCCCTCCTCCCCGACCTGGGCCTCCCGAGGCAGCGGCCTCCGCGCCCGCACTCACCTACTCGGAAAGGCTCATCACTTCCGGGGCCACTGCCGCGGCGAACTACTTCCGGGGACCGGCCCGGACTGCGCACGCGCAGCGCCTCCCCGCGCGGTTTCCCTCCGGCCTCCGAGCCCCTTCGCAGGACCCTCGGCTCCATCGTCCTGTCTCTAAGGCTCCTCCGTCGTCCTCGATCAGGGTGTGGTCTCGGGTGACCTCACCGGCCGCTCCCCGTCACATACCTGACCTTCACTCTGGCCGGAGCTCCCAGCGAGGGGGTCCGCGCGGGGTAGCGGACAGTGCGGGAGTCCTGGGGGTCAGCTCCCCGCCCCCGTGGGTCGTCAGACTATGCGGGAGGAGAGCCTGCCCGAGGTGGCCCGCTGGACACTACCCCGGTAACAGGTTTCCCAGGAGGCTGACTCAACTTGGAGGCAGACACCTGGGTCCGGGGACAAGTCATGAGCATCCCATTAACGTCACGAACACTCACTTTTTAGAGTGACTTTTGAAGAACCAGTTTATTAATTACACCAAAAGCATAAACAATTTATACGCCAAACTCCACCGGCTGGAAAAAAAACACACAATGAAGATGATCTCCAAAATAAAAGTCCTGTGCTCACAGATGAGTTTGACCTGTTCAATTAGAAATGAAGTAATGGCTAAAAATGTTTAAATGTAAATGAAAATGGTCTTCCATTTGTGCAATTCTGAGTGGGTGCCCAATATTCAAACACATACTAGTATATGCTGGCAAACTCGGGCCCCTTAGGCTTCCCCGGAGGTCCTGGCGACCATGCACACCCTGCCCTGATTCCCCTGATCCTCCGCACGAGTTCTAAGTACTTTCCACACCTGTGGTTCCAGAACAAACCCCAGTGGGCGCTGAGCTTTTGCACACCAATATGAATTTGTTGGCACTTCTGAAAATTGTGATCACTTTCCAAGTTTGAGACCTGCTGGGTGTCAGGGACAACAGGAGGCAGGATGAGCACCCATTTCCAAGTCTTCGGCTGCATCTCACTGACCTGTAGAAGTGGTCCTAAAAACAGCGCCACCCATCACACTGCACAAACAGTTCATCTTAGCCTAAGCTTTTGCAGACATTCATATCACAGAAGAGAAAGTATTACACAGCTAACAACAACGAAGTGCTGGCATCACTTTTTCCCTACAATGTCACATAAACACGGACAACACATTAAATCGGGTGGGAACCGTTGTCCTGCCAATGGCCGTTGGGTATTTATAACATCATTCACAGGCCATGCAAAATTATCAACTTAAAAATTAGCCTGCTATATTTGGTCAAACATTTAATTAACTCATCCCTAATGGCCTTGGCAGGGCCAGACCAAATGATTTCTCGGACTTTATACAGCCCTCGGGCCAGAGGTTCCCCACCCCTGCATTAAATAAACATTCTGTTATTTAACTCCTTAAATATATTAACACCAAAAATCATGTATAAATAAGGAAATAAATGTACAAACTATTTCACAAAGTGCTTTTTAAAATATATACACAACATTCAAGAAATTCTTAATGTAAGACATTTCAGATTGAAGTTTCAGGATAACTTTCAAGTGTCCTTTTCTTTAAAAAAAAGTGTTCATTAAAAAAAGCCAACCCTACACACACAAAAGGAATATTCCCAGGATGGCAAGAAATAAAAATAACCTAGTTTCACGGTTATCTAAAATGTTTAACATTTTCAATGGGAAATTTTAGTTCCTGATTGAGTCTACAAATTAGATCTATGACAACTGTCAGGAAAGAACAAAACAAATCAAGGGAGATGACATTGCTAATGTCTGTCATTTAGCAAATAAGAGCTCTCATCTCAGTCATTGAATATAGATATATATTTTTAAGCCCTTACCAGTGTTTAGGGTTTTTTAAAGCCAATACCAGTATACCTATAAAATAAACGCTTCTATCTTAGTATATCTGATGTATCAAGAATTGGATATCTTTTGTATTTTCTTGGTTGTTCTTGGAAATGTCAGCATTCATCCAAAGATGTTTTTAAAGGATTCACAGTAAAAGTAGATATTACCCAAGTAAATATTGATAACATGTCAGTATTACTTAGTGAAATGTAGGATTTTTCCTCTGACCAGACTTTTCCAAGTGAGCTGTCTATAGTGCTTGCCCAGAATTTAAATAGGATTTAACGTCCTGGGAATGTAAAAATTATTCACATTTCTCTAAGTAAAAAACTTTCCTTTTCACTAGGAACACCACAATACCCTCAGTGGGGTTCTTTTTAAAATTTAGTTGTAAATTTTAGATGTCCCTAAAACAGCGGTTCTCAACCTGTGGGTTGTGACCCCTTTGGCGGTCAAACGACCCTTTCACAGGGGTCACCTAAGACCATCCTGCATACCAGATATTTACATTACGATTCATAACAGTAGCAACATGACAGTTATGAAGTAGCCACGAAAATAATGTTATGGTTGGGTCACCACATGAGGAGCTGTATTTAAAGGGCCAGAAGGTGGAGAGCCACGGCCCTAAAAGAAAAGCAACGCTTGCTTGGCGATCTGAACAAGCAGGTCGTGGAATAAAAAACGTAAAACGAACAACTTGCCAACTGTGTGGAAAGTTTGGTGTCACTATTTTAAGCTATAAATTTAGAATGGGGCACATTTACTATTCAAACCCCCAAAATGACCATCAGGTAAACATGGGCCGGGGCCCAAGCCCGGTCAGAGCACCTCCTCTCTGCGCATTGGCGCTGCCTCCTTGGGTTGGGCTAAAGGTGGCTGCCTTCGTGGACTCCTATCTGCAACAGTCATTGATCTCGCTTTACTTTTTAAAAGGAGAGCATGTAACTTTTTGGATAGATGGAATCAGCGAGAGACGCAGGTAATGAGCTCCGGGACGTCCTGGGCAGTTCTCAGCCTCTCCACATGAAACATATGTAGCCTTTAACAGAAACAGACCCAAAACACAGACAAAGCCCCGCCCCACCGAGGCCCGGGAAGAGGCTGCACCCAGGGCTGCGTGAGCAGGTCCAGCTGCGGGGTCACCAGTGAGACAGGTTTACAACCCACCTTACCCTGCGTGAGGAGAGCTGGACCTAAGGTCTGTTTATACGATACACTGACTATGGCATCTTGTAGATTCCCATCGCTGGGCACAGAATACTCTGATGGCAAGAGGACCCTAAAGCTAGCTAGAAACATCGACGTCTCCATTCACCATGTGGACATGATACTATACACAGCACCAGGTACGTCACACCATCAGCGCGCAGTCCCCAGCCTCCGGCACACTCGGCGTCATACCCAGCATGAAATGTGCACACTTCACATGCGACACGTGTGGGGCGAGGGGGAACCGACGGGCCACAGTTTGTCAGAACCGCCACAGGTCGGTGCACGCTGGCGGACACACCACAAGGCTCCACCAAGAACGCTGTCCCTTACTGCTGGTAATTTCCATACTGGCCCTGCAAGAGACCAGGGCAGAGGTTATACCCAGACACCAGTAGACGGCCCCACCCGACTAATGTGCGGGATGAGACAAGGAAGGAGGTGTGGCAGGCAGACAAGTGGACAGGGCAGTCACTGGCTTTCCCAGGAGAGAGGGCCCCTCTGGTGTCTGAGCCAGCCCTTGGCCCTCTAGGACCTCTTCCTAGCACTCTCTGCCCGGCTCATCCTGGCCCCCAAGCAGCATCCAGCTCTGTGGGCCAAGACCCAAGCTCTAAAAGCGTGGCCATCAGTGTCTAGTTGCCGTGACCCCGGCATGCAGCGGGGAGGCACACGTGAGCCTCTGCGGCAGGAGAGAATGCCAGGCTCCAAGTGAGCTGACGATGCACAAACCAGCTGTCTGACCAGGGTGCGCTGCACATCCAGGTAATTTTTAAAACCTTACAGGGTCAGAGAATAACACCTTGAAAGACGGCTGGTTCACCTCACTATTTGTGACCACAGAAGAACCTGTTATGTTTTGACAGACACGCAGACCTACGTGTGGGGAAACATCCAGAAAGCTTGCCTGCTCGTAGCCGTACGGCCGCTGCTGCTGCGCGGACGGGCCGGTCTGTGACGTCCTGTAGCTCCCGTACTGTTGGCCTTGTCCTTGCTGGTAGCTGGAATACTGTGAGGGGGCTCCCTGGGCCGGCCCTGGGAACACAGCAGCTGTGAGGCCACCCCACCACGCCCGGTCCCCTGGAAAGCTCCAGACAGCAGACCCAGGTCTCCTGGGCAAGTCTGCGTAGCGAGCGAGCTCAGCAGGCCGAGCTGCTGTCCAGTACCCTGCCCGCTGCCCCAAGAGCTTCACGTCATGGTGGTCACTGTGGCCCATGTGAGTTCACAGCAACCAGTGAACACATGCAAAAGGCAGTGGAAACTAAGCTCCGGGGAGAATGCAGAAAGGCTGGGGGCGGACAGCATCGTGGTCCCAGACATAAGCACGCGCTCAGAACACAAAGGACAGGGCACAGCAGCCAACGCGGGGACGACGTGAACCAAAATAAACAGCCCTGAATGACAGCCCAACGTGTGAGACTAACATCCATGCCACTCATACAAACAATGACTTCTTTCTGTTTTGCTGATTTTTATCTGGCTTTTCTATTTCTATATTTTGGGGGGGTTGCTTTCCCTTTAAAGGAATTTAGAGATTTAGTTTGCTATATTTCTCTCACTCTCTTTCTTATGAATACAGGCATTTACATGGCAGCATTTCACATATTATGAAATTCTTTATATTTTCCTTATAAAATATTCTGTAATTTTTGTATAGCATTTCTTCCCTGACCCCTGGGTGTAACTTAAGAGAATTTTTAGCATTCTACATTGTTGTTTATTATTTAGTTCCATTCTGGCTATATGTGTGTGTGTGTGTGAATACTTTTTTAAAAACATTAATTTTAGAGAGGAAGGGAGAGGGAGAGAGATAGAAACATCAATGATGAGAATCATCGATCGGCTGCCTCCTGCACTGGGGATTGAGTCCAGAACCCAGGCATGTGCCCTGACAGGGAATCGAACCAGTGACCTCTTGGTTCCTGGTTCGTTGCTCAAACAACTGAGCCATTCCAGCCAGGCCTTGTTACATAGTTTTAGTGTTACTTCATTGTAGTCTGAAAATGTGCTATGTAGAATTCTTTATATTTACAAATTCACTTTTTTGCATTTTCTCCATGTGACTGATTTTTGTGACATTTCTGTATTAACTAAAAATAAAGTGCACCTGGGGGCTGACCACGAAGTCATCTTTGTATAAATGGTGATTAATGACTCAGTGGAGGAGATAGACCTTCCCGACAGGATTCTAAACAATCCATGTAGACCCCCTAGAGTGTGGACTGCATGCGGGGACTCCCTCCCAAATATTAACGAAGGGGAGGGAGCAGCTGGACCTGGACAGATGCCCCTGACCCAGTGACCGAGACCAGCATCGGAGGCGTCATGCCGACAGGTGACAAGGGCACCTCACCTCTGTGGTCTTTCCAAAGCCCACAGCCCGGTCTCATCCCGAGGAAAGAGGAGAGCCTGCTGGGCCCAGCTGGCTGGGGCATCGTCCCGCACACCAAGGACAGGTTGCGGGCGTGGGTTCGGTCAGGGCACACACCTAGGTTTTGCGTTCGATTACCGGTCAGGGCGAGTATAGGAGGCCATCAATTGATGTTTCTCTCTCATATCAATGTTTCTCTCTCTCTCCCTTCTTCTCTCTAAAATCAAAAAAACATATCCACGGGTGAGGATTTAAAAAACCCCCAAACAAAGAGAAAGTCAGAGCGACTGTCGGAGCCCAGAGGGTCCCGGGCAGAAAAGGACACTCAGGGAAAACTAGTGAGGTCTGAGTCCCCTGTGGGTTTGGACCGCAGCGATGGACCGACATCGGCCTCTTAGTGTGACAGTCGCATGACAACAGGACTCTCCTCTCCTCGCAGCTTTCCCACAACACACCCTAAACCACCCGTCAAAGTGCAGGAGGCGTGTGCTGGGCAGCGCTGCTGTGCGCTGCACGGGCAGTGCCCTCTTACCGTAGCCTGGCTGCTGGCCCGGGTAGCTCTGCTGGTTGGGGTACTGCTGCTGGTACCCCGCCTGCTGCTGGGCTGTGCCCTGCTGGTACCCCGCCTGCTGCTGGCTGTACTGCGAGTTCCCTGCAGAGTGGAGGAGACGTAGGTGATGTCTGCTGTTTGTCAGGGGCTGTCTAGGAGCCTCACTTTCCCCACTTCTGACTTCCAGAGCAGGAAGCTGGCACTTGACACTGAGGCCACGCCATCCTGGGAGTTGACTGCTTCTCCTCTCTTGGGAGTGGGGGCAGCTGGCACCCACCCGAGAACCAACTGCGAGTATCTGCCCCCAAATCCATGCCTGGAGCGTCACTTGGTGGCTTGAAGGCAGCAGGGATGGGCAGGCGCTACAGCTCGGCCTGCAGATTCCCTAGCCGTCTCCCTCTTGGATCACCCTGGTGCCAGGGCCTCCGGAGCCTGGCTTCCTGGTTCCCTGACCCTCCACACTGCTTTCCTGACCTGTGGTCCATCTCAAGGAGGATAAGAGTGGGTGGTCTGGGGTGAAGGGTGCGGAGATCTGAACGCCCTGCCGCCACCCAGGACCTGTTCCTGCATGTAGAACCCTGCAAAATCCACTAACCCACAAGCTGGCCTCGTCTGCCTCCTCCTTTGGTCTCTTGGCAAAGTCGGCACTTGGGGGCCGCTCTGCACACGCAGCCTTGTCACAGAGCTGTCTGGACGCCTGCCCCCTGTGGCCAGCCCTCCTGCTTCACGACCGCACTAGGTGTGCGGGACCCAGGCCCCGCCTGCCCTCCCACTCCCAGAAGTCGACGCGGCGCCACAGAGCTCTGGCCTGCTCTAAGCGTGCCCGGTGCCTGCGAACCAGCATCTCAGTGGGAGCACACCACCCTCCCGCGTGGCACTGTGCTTACCGCCCTCATAGTAGTGCTGCGTGGACTCCTCGAAGGACCGGTCATAGCTCTGCTCCGAGTAGGATGACTGCTGATAGGCATAATCGCTGTGCCCTGCAAGCAGACGATGGCTGGCAGTCAGGGATCTAACCACCAGACAGGGTGGGCAGCCTGAGTCAGGCGGGCAGTGCCATGGGGTCGGGCAGTGGCCAGAGCCGGGCACGATCAGTTCCTCACAGATGGAGGCCATGAAGGAGCCCACCATTGGTCCCTGTAAGTAGAACGCAGATGGCCACACGGCCCTCAGTGCCCTGAGTACTGACTACATTCAGTCTTGACACGCGGCAGGCATCATGGCCGTTGGCTGCCAACGCTGCTGCATGGCTGCCATCCACCGTCTGCAATGAGGGAATCCCATCTGGGGTACGGTGCCCCGCAGAGACCTTCACGCTATGTGGCGGGCCTGGCTAGCCCCGTGCTCGTCTCCGCTACCCCAACCCGATCCTGCTGGCTTGCTGTCTGGGAGTCCTCCCCAGCCATCCCCTCCGACCACCATAATGCCACCTGCCAAACCTGCGACTATTAAAGGTGACTGAGTGGGGACAATGGAGGGAAAATCCTCAGCGGGAATACGACTGATCAGCTGGGAGCCGAGTGTCATCAGACCGTCACCTTCCTGGAGGCGTTTCCAGGCCGCTGCGTCCCTCCCCTAAAGTAGCCACAGCTACCTGCTCAGTGTCCCACAGCTGGGCCTGGCTTCACTGCCTCTGGGGAAGAGAGATGAGCAGCCCAAGGAGGCGAGTGGCCGCGGCAGGTGCCAGTCACTCAGGCACAGGGACTGGGATGCTGGGCGGGCGGGCGTGAAGGGCGGGTGTGGCGAGAGGCGTTTCGGGGCTCACCGTCAGCGTAGTACTGCTGGCTGAGCGGCTCCGAGGCTGCCTGGCCGTGGCCGTACTGCTCGCCCCCGTAGTACTCCTCCTGGCCCAGGTACTGCTGGGACGAGCCTGCAGGCGGGTGGGTTGTGGGTGAACTTGGGGCCTCAGCCCCATGAACACCTCCTCGACAGGACACAAATCGAGATGCCCCACCACACCACCCCCGGGGATACTGCGGCACTGCCCCGCACCGAGCCCTCTACACCTGTCGCTTAGACATAGCTGCCCACCCCCACTGCAGCCACACAGCCACCTGTGACCCCACTGAGCACTCCAGGCTCGTCCACCCCTTGTGAAGACACTGGCTTTCAAACTTCAATGTTTCGTGGCCCCACTAGGCTCCAACCCGCAGCGTCCTCCTTGTGCAATACCAAAAACGCGTGGTCTCTCACACACACACACACACACACCCCGTCCTCCCAGCCCTGGAAGGGAGCACACAGACTGCAGGCGCATGGCGGTACCTTGCTGGGAGGGCCGGTAAGGCGCCATGGGCCGCTGCCCCATCATGCTGCTCCCCTGCCCGCTCTGGCCCATCATGGCGATGGGCTGGCCCTGGTAGTGCTGGCTCCCGCCCTGCGCCGAGTTGTAGTGGGACGAGGCAGCCTGCTGATGCATCATGGACACTGGGCGACACGACAGACCCGAATAACCCCGAGAAGTTCCCGGGCCGGCACCTCACCCCCTGGCTCAGGCCCAAAGGTGCCCTTCTCCCAGGCAAGCTTTCCCTGTACCCCTGGGCTTCCCCTAGAGATGGTCTCCTCCCTTCCCTGTCACACTTCCTACCAGCGAACCTCGGCACCAACTCTCACCATGGTGACATTCAGAAGACGCCACAGGCTCCCAGGCCATCTGGACACCCTGCCACCTGCCCTGCTCATGTCACCCTGCTCAGAGCTCTCACTCAGCAACACCCAACACAACGATGTGAGCCATGCCAAGAGTGAAAAGAGCTCTAGCTAGTGTGGCCCAGTGAATAGAGAGTTGGCCTGCAGACTGAAGGGTCCTGGGATCGATTCTGGTCGAGGGCACGAACTTCGGTTGCTGGCTCCTCCCCGGCCAGGGCCCTGGTCGGGGTGCATGTGGGAGACAACCAATCTATACTGGTTCTCTGCCCCACTATGCCTTCCCCCCACCCAAGTGACGCGAGTCCTGTCCTCTCAGCAGAACCCAGGCACCCTCTGCAGAGCCTTCCCGGGTGCTGTGGGAGCAGACTCGGCCCCCTAAAGCCGGGCACTGCCTGACTTGTATTCACCAACCCCTGGTCCTGGGGAGCTCCAGGGGGCAGCCCTCGGGACCCCTCTCCTCCTTAGCACTAGCCCGTGCCCAGCAGGGCAGCCTGTGTGTGACCTGTACACTTTGGAGGGACGCAGGGACAGGTGTGCACGTGGGCTGGGCCGGGCAGGGTGTTACCTGGGTTGGACTGCATGTTGATGTTGGCCCGTGACACGTAGTTGCTGATGGCACCTTGGCCCTGCAGGGGCACGCTCTGCGAGGAGGGTCCTGAGTGGCTGTAGCCGGGCCCTGAGCCGTGGCCGCTGCCGGACATGCTCATGGAGGTTGTGGGCAGCGTGCTCTGTGCCGTCTGCTGCAGGGTCACGTGGTTTGGACCTGCCAGGAGAGACGGTGAGGACGCCTTCAACCTGTCTAAAGCCACCTGTGACGGCAGGCCGGGCTCTCTGCCCGACACCCCGGCCCTTGGGTAGATGCGCTGTGCCGTCACTAATGGGTCCCAGTGGCCAGCACCAGTTCTGCTGCAGACAGGAGCACTTCCATTCTCGTCAGGGAACCCACGGAATCTACGCTGTGAGTCGAAGTGGCCCTACCCTCAGGTGCAAATCACAGCAGGAGAGCCGGAACGAGGTGTCATTCTCTGTGTGTCACCCCGGGCCCCTGCACCTGGCACTGCAGCTGGCCCGCAGCCAGGAACTCTGGAGAAAGGGGTCTCCTTAGCGCTGTCCTGTGTGGCTACCTGGGAGCCTGCATTGGTGACACTGTTCCAAGAACCAACCGCAAACCCAAACTCCAAACCAGGGTGCTCACCATTGCCGATCTGGCCCTGCATGAGGGAGGCGGGGGGCAGGCCAGTGCTGATGGCATCACTGAGGCTGCCCTGGGAGTGCAGGCCCTGGCTGGCGCCGCTCTGGGACAGCGCTCCGGGGCCCAGGTTCATGTTCTGGGTGGGCGGCTGTGGGCAACAGGAGGTTATGGGGAGGCAGGTCAGTTCCAATAATGACCACCAGCCAACAGCCACTGCAGGGACTTGTCCAGCTGCCTTCCCTTATAATGGGAGGACCTGCCCCTTCTCACTCCCTGTGGTGACCTTGGCTATGCCAGGTAAGACCTCAGACCTCTGCTCCCTCGTTGGCGGTCTGAGGCAGTGCCTGACTGTGCCGGGCAGGATGGGAGCCGCCCCCGTCCCCCTGGCACTCACGGCGGGCAGCAGGGACTGCATGTTCTGGTTGGAGTCCGCGATCGTGGCCAGGTAGACCAGGTTCCGGTGCAAGATCTGCTGGTACCTGCATGCGAGGGGCGTGTGGTAAGCAGGGAGCCCACAGGCCAATCCAAAGCAAAGTTCACCCAGGACAGCTTGCCCTGCATGCCGCCCAGGGACACGGACTGCACAGGACACCTGGGGACAGGGCAAGCAGCAGAGCGCTCTGCAGTCCCAGACGGGCCAGGTGGGGAGTGGGTGCCCGTCCAACGACAAAATGCTGCAAAAACCTCAAGGTGGTGGCCAAGGGGGACGTGCCACCCCGCTTCTTCAGAGAGTGGATGCGGACAAGCCCTCGCAGATGCCCCTGGCTAATGCGATCCTCTATGCCCGAGGAGGTGCTGGGAGGAATGCCCAGGCGTGTGACGGCCACTCACACACGCCTTCCTCCAGGTAGCTCTGATGCCCAGCGTGTGCACCTACTCTGTGTCCGGCCCTGGAGGTCTTACCTGGATGGAGCCCACTTTCCCCTGGTGTGTCCTCCAACTGCTCACAGAGGTGCCAGCAGTGTCCGGTCGGGGCCTCCCCAGCGGCCCTCTCTCCTCCCACACTTCCATTTCCCTTCAAACATCCCATACCTCTCTAGGGGCAACCTGGGGGACAATGCAGTCACCCTCAAGGGGTGATGCTCAGTGGCTTAGGTGACCTCCACAGCCCAATGCACCCAGGCCACTCAACACCCCCAATGGAGGCCTTTCCAGCGCTGGCAGAGCCTGTACCACCTGATAGCTGAGCTGGGGGAGGGGTCACTCACTGGGCACACTCGGCCGTCTTGCCCTTGCTCTGATGGTCCAGGATGCACTGTATCAGGTGGTGGTTCTCATCCAGCATCTGAGGGAGAAGCAGACGTGAGCGCAGGACGTGGGTGCATCTACAGTGCCTGCTGGAGGTTAGGTGGGGAGGGCTCAGTCGCTGACTAGATGTGACAATACCTGCTGTCAGCATTCTGTGTGCGCGCTGCCACACATGTGTATAACCTCAGCCAGCAGGGCTGAGCCCTTTCCAGAGCCCCATGCTAAGCACACAGCCCCACCTCCCCAGGGGCAGGTCCCAAGTTCTCTGTCACCTGCAGATGGGATTCTAGTCCCCAGGACGCCCCCCATCTTGGGCCCCAGAGCACGGTGTATCTGTCCAGCGAGGGTGTGTTAAAAATCTACACCAGGGACTGGGGACCCTAAGATCTGTCTGGAGGGTGTGAAGCCCACACATGCCAGCCACACAGCCGTCCCTCCCAGGGAAGGCAGCTCGTATCCCCACAGAGCATCACAAAGACCTACAAGAGCCACCTCTTCAGGACGCCACTGGGGACAGCAGCTGGGAGACCCAGGAGGAGGTGATGGAAGGAGCCGGAGAGGAAGGATGGCCTAATGGGAGGATAGGAGGAGAGGACTGTGTGGCAGGTACTGGCAGGTGCCATGTCCGGTGAGCACACAGGACAGCCAGCGGGCGGACCCAGGGGCACCATTCTCTGCCTGGATGTGAAGAGATGGAGAAGCACACGGCTCATTCACGGCCGTCCATGCAGGAACCTCCCCGCTTGGGAGGGAGCAGCATAACAGCCCACAGCAAGCCGCTTCCAACAGAAAGGCCTTGTCCAGAGACTAGCGCCAAAGGAAAAGCCTTTCGTTTCCACCAGGTTGTGCCCAGTCCTCTGGTCCCAGTGGCTCCTCCGGACAGGCTCAGCTCTGCTGCCCCTGAGCGGTAAGGCCCTGCAGCGAGGGGCAGAGGGCGCGCCCAGCACAGGGCCCCAGCGCCACGCCCTCCCTGGGCAACATGCCACCCACTGGTCTGATAGTGGCTCCTACTCCTGTGGAGCCGGGGCCTACCGCCCCTGGAGAGAGACGGGGCCGCTGCCCTCTCTGCCCCTCAGCCTCCAAGTCCTCAGGGCGGGTTCCTCTTGTTTTAATTTTTTAAAAAATATTTTTTTATTGATTTCAGAAAGGAAAGGAGAGGGAGAGAGAGAAACATCAATGATAAGAATCACTGGTTGACTGCCTCGTGTGCGCCCCTCACTGGACATGCAACCTGGGCATGTGCCCTGACCGGGAATAAAACCGTGGCCTCCTGATTCATAGATCGACGCTTAACCACGGAGCCACGCCAGCCAGGCTGATTTTTATTCACATTACAACTTCCTCCTCCCCTGGCTTTCCCACTATGTCCCCACTGTGGAGGTGGTACCCCAAGTACATCAATTCTCACGTTGACCCAGCAGCCAGCCAACACGGGGAGCCACCAGGGGGCGCTGTGAGCCCAGGGCTGCCTGCCACGCTCACCTGGGGACAGGTGAAGGGTGCTCAAACAACAGGAAAAGGCATTCTGGTCATTCACACATTATGACTCTTTTCTCCAGATCAGTTAACAAAAGGAAACAACTGGAACAGAGCTTCCTTTCCCTGGAAGGCTCCACGCCTCCAGGCAAGAATTCTCTCCCAAGGACACACAGTGCATTAAGTACTGAGACCTGTTCTGCACCCATGTTCGCTTTGGGTGTGGGGGGAGCTAAATGGGCGATGCTGAGAGGCCTGCAGTTATGGAAGAACCTGTAAGATGTTAAGCAGCATTATAAACGATTTTTGTAGTCTTTAAAGGCATGAGAAAATGTTACAAAATCTGTCAGCATGAGAAAATGTTGCAAAATACTAAGAGACAGAGAGAGAGAGAGAGAGAGAGAGAGAGAGAGAGAGAGAGAGAGAGAGAGAGAGAAAGAAAGAAGTAGGACACAGAATATTGTCTCAGCTAAGTTAAAAACACTCAGGAAGCCCTAGCCCGTTTGGCTTAGTGGATAGAGCATCAGCCGGCCGACCAAAGGGGCCCAGCAGGCTCCTCCCTGGGCCGGGCCCTGGATGGGGTGCATGCAGGAGGCAACCAATCGATGTGCTTCTTTCACATCGATGTTTCTGTCTGTCTTTCCCTCTCTCTCTTTAAAATAAAAAAGAAAGAAAAAAAATCAATGGAAAAATATTCTCAGGTGAGGATTAACAAAAATAAAACAAACAAATAAACACTCAGGAAAAAAGTCCAGAACATGTTGGTGAAAGGGCCAAGTGGGTGATTGCTGCACCGCAACCCCTCGGCCCACCCGATTGAGTTAGGGATAGAAAAGGCAAACACTCATAGGGACGAAGGGGACAGGGCTGAGACAGCTGAGCCATCAGCAGAATTCTAGAAGCAAATGGACTAGTGATAACTGGATCAGCAGACCCCAGGTGCTGCAAGTGACACTGCGCCACCCAGGGAGCCCACACTGGGGAACGCAGCAGGCTGAGGAGGCTGAGATCCCTGGACCTTCCCCACTGCTCACCTGGCAGGAAATGGGAAGGGAGGGCTCGGGAGGGAGGGGGAAGGTGTCTCCAGGGAAATGAGGGCCTGGGAGGGAAGACAGGATAGAGGGCAGCACAGCATAGCCTCCTGAGCTCTGTGCACCACGTGAGGGCAGTGGGAGAAGGCACCACCAAGAATCAAACCTTAGGCACCGCAACCTTGGACTTCCAGCCACGGCAACTGAGAAAGAAACGCCTGCTGTTTAAGTGCCCGGTCTACAGCAGCTGGAGCCAGTGAAGACAGAGCCTAGAACTAAAAACATCTAAAAAGCGCCACTTGGTTTAGCGATGAGAAGGGCAAGAGGGTGTTGCTGGGAAGTGGAAAGACAGCAAGAGGCGGATCACTCCGGACTTTTAACAACCGCAGCACCATGACTCTTCACGTGCAGGCGTGATATTGATCAGCACAGACTCTATCCTGGAAACAAGAAGTGAGGAGGGAAACCCTGGCTCTCGCTGGGCCACTACCCAGCTAGGGGGTCCATCCCTGCCCTCCCAGGGCGGGCCCAAGGACAGGAGTGAGCGGACAGTGCCCCCTCCCGGCCCTGGGGAGAAAGCACGTTCAGTGACAACTGCCTAAAATGATCAGTTAGCCAAGCGAAGGGAGGCTGGGAGTCCCCAAGCCATTTGCAGCCACGGGGACAGCTCTAGTTTTTGAAAATAGCCAATGTACCTTCCTTACCGAATCAGCCCACGTTCTGAAAGGCAACAAGTTTCACATCTAACAGAGCCCAGAGAGCCCGCTCCCCACCCCCACGCCCACCCCAGACACGGACAACGGAGCAGGACTGGCCTGGTTTTGACATCTTCCTGGCTCTCAGACCTTGGGCATGGCACCTGCCCTCGCTGGTCTCACTTTCCTATTCCCGACCCACATGGCAAACACCCAGATGCCCACCTGCCTATCAGCTCCGTCCTGTTCCCATGGACCTGTCTCCCCTGCACAAGGTGCTGGCACAGAAGGACAAGACTGCAGAGAAAACCAATACAAACAGTGACAGTGAAACTTAAATTGATTGGTTGATTGATTTCAGAGAGGGGAGAGAGGGAGTGAGAAATAGAAACATCAATGATGAGAGACAATCATTGATCGGCTGCCTCCTGCACGCCCCACACTGGGGATAGAGCCACAACCTGGGCATGTGCGGTGACCGGGAATCGAACCCTGACCTCCTGGTTCACAGGTCAATGCTCAACCACTGACCTACAGCGGCTGGGTGAAATTTAAATTTATTAAGCAACTACCTTGCCAAGGAGCAAGGAGGCACCTGCATGCCAGCCAAGGCCTTGTGCCCAGGGGCCCCTCCAAGGAACCCAAACCCAGCCTCGCAGTCCAGGGAGATGGCTAGTGGTGTCGGGAGCACAGCACTGGGCAGCAGGGGCTCCCTGGTCCCGAACCAGTGGAGAGCTGCAAAGGGCAGGTCCTGGCTGCAGGCCACTGAACTTTGCTGGGACACTGCCCATCTCCACCTCAGGGTCCCCTGTGGCTCTCACCAAAGTGCAGTTCCACCTGCATCTCACGCTGCATCAAAACTGTCTTTGGTCACCACAGGCTACACCACCTTAACCCCCGCCCTGGCTCCCCGGATCAGCAGGCACTCCCTGCCCCTCTAATTTGCATCTCATGCCTGCTCCACGCAGACCATGGGCAGGACCACCTGCAACTCCCTGGATCTTCCAGACCCTTCCACCTCTGCTCCTCAGTTCTTCTGTCTGGAACACCCCTCCTCCACACAGCCTCTGTATTGGATTGAATTGTGATCCTCAAAATAGGTTGGCTCTTAACCCCTGGGACCAGTAAACGTGACTTTACTTGGAGACAGGGTCTTTGCAAATGTAGTGGAGTTCAGATAAATGAGGTCAGTCCAGATTAAGGTGGGTCCTAAATCCTATGACAAGTGTCCTTATGAGAAGAGGGAAATTTGGACCCTTAGACACACAGAGAGGAGAGGCCACATGAGACAAAGACAGAGATGGGGTGATGCGTCCACACAACGGAGCATGGAGGACTGCCAGGAACCACCAGAAGCTCAGAGGAAAGCATGGGACCGACCCTCCCCCAGAGCCCCAAACAGGAACCAACCCTGACTTCTAGCCTCCAGAACCGAGAAAATGCTTCCTGTTTTAAACCACCCAGTCTGTAGTAACCTGTTATGGCAGCCAAAAGAAACAAATACATCTACCTATCCCAAACACTTCCACTGACATACCCAGTGTCATGGATGCTCTAGTATGTACTGGGCACTGACAGGTTGGGACTTTGCAAATAATTCAGTGACATGCAAACGTGGAAGCCCAAACAATGTGTCAAAATTCAGCACATGACTGCCAAAGGAGCATGAGGGAGGGGACATTTGAGTGGGGCCTTGAAGGTTGAGTAGGAGTTTGCCTGGCAGAATCCTATGCAAATATGCTCTAAGGACAAGCTGTATACTTCCTGCTCCCTCACTACCAAGCAGCTTCTGAAAAACCCTGGCTTTTCTCAATGCTCTGAGCATGAGCACACGCTGTGGACACAGCTCATGTGAGTGTGGGTCACACACCTCTCATGGCCTTCTCAAACTGCAGGTAAAAGACCCCTGGGTACATAAATTCACTGTCAAAACACCAAGGTGAGTATACAGATGGCTGGCTCAATCAGGTCAAATCAGATGACAACTTAAACTGAAGACCCATTTCCAATGAGCAACAGTTTCCTTCTTTCTGATCTGATGTTCGGGAGCAGTGCTTTTGCCTGGAAAATTTGGGGAGCTTTACTAAAAAGAGAGTGCAAAGTGCAAATAACTGGATGAATGTTGAAGGCGAAAGTTGGCTTCAGGAACAGTCTCTGCTCATCACACTTAAGGTCCAAGAGCCAGAGTGCCCGGAGGCCCTAGTGATTGTGATGTGATTGCCTGCCGCTGCACCAAGTGTTCCCACATCAGGTGTTATGGCCGGGGCAAATCCTGGAGCCACTGTCTGGGTTCAACTCCTGGATCCATCACTAACCATCAGGCACCTAGCTTCCCTCTGCCCCAGTTTCCATGTCTATAAAATGAGAATGATAGTAACCACCACAAGGAATTAAATGAGTTAATATCTGCAAAGCCTTAGAGCAGTGCCTGGTATCAGTAAGCACCACATACGTGCATAGTAAACAAAAATGCCAGACTTTTAAGTCTGTATTTCTGCTGCTTTTCAACTAGCTTTTCCTGGTTAGAGTTTACTGAGACTCATCTCAGTAAACTGAGATGTTTACTGAGCCAAGCAGAGAGGTTCCTACACAGACAAGGTTCACAGATCCTGGCTTCACCAAGAAGAGGGGCAGGGCACTGGGGTGAATGCCCTCAGGGAAAGAAAGGCTCCTGGGAACCAAGGAATACTGCTGTTAACCCCATGAAGTCCAAGCTTAGAAAGAAATAAGCAAAGCTACCGAAAACGTTGGAGAAACAGCAGAAAATACTAAATCTGAACTTCAAAATGTAAGGGTTTTGTTACAGGTGCCCCCAACTCCATGTAAACGTTATCTCTAGAAGATCACAAAGCGAATCTGTAAAGTTGCTGTTAGGTAAGGATGCTGGCCCCGGCGAAAGGCTGAGACACACTCTGACACGCGCATAAGGGCAGCAAAGCTTGGCCAGCAGGTCCACCCCAAGGGGTCCAGCACTCCTCAAAGGGCCGCGGATGAGCCTGAAGGGGAATGGCATCGAAAACTCGGGACGTGCCCCTTTGTGCTTCGGAGTGCCAGCACCTGACTGAGGGGTGAGTGTGGCCAGCTGTTGGGCCCCCTCCACTCGCCAAGCGGGGCCCTGGGGCCAGGGGCCGCCCGCGGGTTGCGCCACAGCCTTAGCCAGTTAGACGGAAACCCCTCCGCGCTTGGTGTGGCCCGGAGATTCCTGGCTTAGCCCACGACCCCAACCCGCCGACACCATTTCGAGGGCGCCGGCCCAGCCGCCCTACGCCCCTGTCCGCGGCGCAGGGTGCCCGGAGGCGGCGGGTCCGCACTGCGCCCGGCTGGCCCGCGGACACGGCCCTTCGGACACCATCCCGAGGTCGCGCGGCCCCGCCGTCCAGCACCCCTACCAGCAGCCCCCGCCCACCTTGGCGCAGGCTGGTGGCGGGGCACTCGTGGGGCCCGGCGGGGTGACGGCATCGGCTGCGCCCCGGCTTTGTTCGCGCCCCGCGCCCGCTGGCTGCCCGCGTCCCGGCCCCGCGCGCGCACGCCCGCACTCCGCACCGCCCTCGGCCCGCGGGACCCCGCCTACCTTCTGGATAGTTTGCTGCGTGACCTCCCCTTTGCCTCTCGGCCGGGCGGACGCGAAGGCCACCGACATGGTCGCGGCTCGAGCTCAACACAAGATCATCGGGGTTTCTTCCCCCGCTGCGCTCGGCAGCCCAAGGTGTTCATTCTCTGCAGTCGCTGGGGGGTGGGGGCGCGGGGGAGCCCGTCGTGGGTTCGTCCGCCCCGCCGCTGCCGCTGCGCTGTC